CATCAAGCGTAAAGAAGCAAGTGCCTTGCGAGGTGCGAGTCTCGAGACTCCTTGACTGAATATGGAGCCTCTTCGTGAGTCCTAACTAATCAGTCTTTGGGAAGAAGGCAAGAAGACGCAATTTTTCCGAGAGGCGCTCTTGCTGAGGTGATCCCAAGGCGTGCTGAAAAGCTTCGCATGGTTTCCGCACATGTGAAGTAGACAGGCAGCGTGTAAACCCTGTCCAACCGTCACACGTCAGACCTGCGGTGAGCGATCTGAATGCACATGTTAGGAAGTTCTTCGGAAGGGCCGCATGTGTCGGGACTTCTTTTTTTTTCTACTCACCATTGTCATTTTGTGTTCCCGCTTCCTCGATCCCTTTCGCTGCCGGCTCTCTGCCTTTCTCCTATCCTTCTCCGAGGGCTGCACCAAGTCCGGTCTCTCTCTCTCCTGCTGATCCCTGGGAAGGCTCGAGCCCGGCGCCTGCCTCTCCTGCCCCTGCCCCTCCACAGGGAGCTGCCTTTCCTGCTCCTCCCCCTCCTCAGAAGGCTGCCTCTCCTGCCCTGCCTCAGGGAGCATAGACCCTGGCGCCAGCCCCTGCCCCGCCTCAGTGTGCTCCTCCTCAGGGAGATGCCTCTCCTGCTCCTCCCCCTCCTCAGGGGGCTGCCTCTCCTGCCCCTGCCATGCCTCAGGGAGCATAGACCCTGGCGCCAGCCTCTCCTGCTCCTGCCCCACCTTAGGTTGCCCCTCCTCAGGGAGCTGCCTCTCCTGCCCCTGCCCCGCCTCAGGGTGCTCCTCCTCAGGGAGCTGCCTCTTCGGCCCCTGCCCCGCTTCAGGGAGCATCGGTGCCGATGGTTGTCCCTCCAGCAATCCATGCGCCTGTTCCACCTCCTCCTCCTCTCCAGAAAGCGTCAAGCCCAGCGCCTGCCTTTCCTTAGCCTCATGAACGCCTTCCACAGCGATCCTTCTTTCCAGTGTATCCCTATCTTCGAAAAGCACTTGCACCAGACCTTGAAGCAAAACATGCATATATTTCTTATGAGTCTGCTTAGACCGCTGTGGTATACTATGGGGAAAATACTCCGTCACTTTTTGACACAGTTTTCCATAATCTTTCCAGACATCGTTTTTAATCTGTGTCGCGGTACAAAAATCTGCCAGAGTATCGATCTCTGCGAAATGCCGGATGTTGTGAACTTCATCCTTCAAACCTGCAATAACAATATCACGCAATGATGTCAATCATATTGGATCATTTTTGAAACCAACACCAGATTATAGAACTGAAGAACACTCTGCGGTGCCCCCGTACATACCAAATTGAGTGCTTACCTTCGATAGCTGCTTTAACTCTAGCAGCAAAATCATCGCCCTTGGGTGCCTTGAGAGAATGCATGAGGGCGGTTGATGTGTCCGCCATTTGCAAGCACATTCGAGCAAGGTACAAAAGACACGAAGGCGGGTGGAAATGTTCTACTACTACAGCAGATGCTACTGCACCTAGTAGAATGGTCTTCTGCCGCTCTTAAAATTACACATGACTGTTTCGTTGGTATTTTTGTTGTTGGACTGACCTAAGTAATCGAAATGTCGCACGGCGATTCGCCGTAAGTCAAAAGATTCTACCGTACGCGCTAACCCTTAGGCATGGCAGGTGGCGCACGCTGATTCAACAAATTTCGAGCAAATCACAACCGTCCCGACTCTCACGTGTTTCCTACTCCAGCTGGCTCGAGTGACGTGTGCTGACGTTAACACTTTTAACTTGAGTCTGCGGTCCAAGACTGGAATACAGGCTACATGACAGCGCCTGCAGTGCAACTACTTTACGACAAAGAGTACTACTACAAGAAGCTACATGGTCTGCAATTTGCGCTCATTTCTTCTTCACCATTCTCAGAAATAGCAGCAGCCCAGAACCTTCCATTCGCATAGCAGCGATTCAGGTGTGCGCTCAAACAGCTCTAGCAGATATTCCTTTGCAACACCCCCCGCCAGCTCTAGAGTAAAACTGCTACGCTGCGGTCTGATGGCCGCGCGGTGGAGGGCACGGTCTGATGGCCGCGCGGTTTGACGCCTCTGGCTGAAACCGTGCTGGACTGGACGTCGTGTCCGAAACCGCGCTGGACTGGACGTCGTGTCTGAATCCGTGCTGGACTGGACGTCGTGTCTGAATCCGTGCTGGACTGGACGTCGTGTCTGAATCCGTGCTGGACTGGACGTCGTGTCTGACTCCGTGCTGGACTGGACGTCGTGTCTGAGACCGTGCTGGACTGGACGTCGTGTCTGAGACCGTGCTGGACTGGATGTCGTGTCTGAGACCGTGCTGGACTGGACGTCGTGTCTGAGACCGTGCTGGTCTTGACGTCGTCGTCCACGGAGTTGGACGTCGCAAGAGTCGAGTCCATTTCTGTGTGTGGACTGGAGTCTGGTTTGAGTGTCTGGAGTCCGTTTCTGAGAGTGTCTTTGAGTGTGGTCTGGAGTCCTTTTCTTAGTGTGTGGTCTGGAGTCTTTTTCTGAGGGTTATGGGTGTCGTTCTGAGTTCTTTTGATCGAAGCGTGTGGAGAGCAACGCCAACTCCTTGGACATGGGTCGACACAAAACATATGAAAAAGGCTAGTACATACCGAACCTTTCTTTCATACTCTTCGTAAATTGTGAGCTGCTGTTGAATCGAGTGCTTTCACCGCATTCTGCTTGTGATGCGCTTCTTGCCCATGCGAATCTCGTTCTCTCCTCGGCTTATCATGAAGGTCTCTCACCTCATCCGTCTCCGTCTGCAGCTTCGCTATCGTGCTTCTACGCTTCCAGTTAACACCAAGAGCATCAACTGCGACGTCCTGGACATATCAAGTAAGTTCTGGACACACGACGAATCTATGCCAATGTCTATTGAGCTACTCGAGTCATCTTCCGTTCATTTGCTAAAGCGACCTGTGTGTGCTGGACAAGTCTTCTTTAAGGTCCATCCAATATAACAGACCTTCTCTTTCCTTCCAACTTTTCGCAGAGCATTATTCGTCTATGTCACTTCGGTGATCGGCATTCGCCTCTCATGCGAAAGACCGCCAGCCTCGTCGGGGTGATTCCCGCGGGCCATGGGCTCGGTCGCAGC